CGGCCCTGCGGCTGGCCGGCCACCACGTGGCGGGACTGGATCGGACTTGAGACTCCAGAGGAATTGAGTCTCCTCTGCCCTGGTCTTTATGGGGCGGAGGGACGCCCTGGGGCCCAGATCTGTGGACACTGGTCTGCCGCGGCTTTCTCCCCCAGGCGGCTGTGCCCAGAGTCGTACACCCGGGGGACAACCCTAGTCGCGTGGCGCCCGAGAAGCCGCCCCGGAAAGTTGAGTCCTCGCGGACCCCTGCCGGGCCCCAGGACCCCGGCTGTGGGACCCGCCCCGTGGCCAACTCTGGCGTCTCCTCTCCCACCTCCATCCCATCAGCCTCCCTTTTTAATGGAAGGCTTTCCCCATGGCCGGTGATTTTTCAGAACACGGGAGGAGACCTGGGCATCTCTCCAAATCTGGGAACTGAACACTTTTTTATATTAACCAATTGCTTGTCTATCTTTAAAACCAAGCATTCACTCCGCTTGGCTCTCCCATTCCCCAAGTTAAATGGATCCCTTTACCATGTCCCCTTACCACCACGAGGAGAACTTGATTGTAGTATATATAATCAAGTGCTATTATAGAGGCAGACGGCAGCTGGGATGAATGCTTTATCAGGCTATAATTTAAATATTCTAAGAGCTTGCAATCTTTCAGATCCCTTATATGGTGCAAGCATTGATTAGTCAATCTTAACTTTTATCTGTTTGGATATGCTACACCTTTTTGCAGTTGGCATTGGATTATTAGACCATGTTTCAAATTTCATATCGTTGCCCCTTTTATTTTCCCAGACCTGTTTTCACATGTGGCGGTGTTCTTACCGGAGAGTCTGGATTTATTGGCAGTGAAGGTTTTCCTGGAGTGTACCCTCCCAATAGCAAATGTACTTGGAAAATCACAGTAAGCATTTTTTTAATATAGGTATTCTCCTGGAAGTGGGTACTGGAAACAGTGGAAGGCTGCTGCCTTGTTCCCTCAGGATTCGGGTTGGAGGCAGATGCCCGCAATGGTGAAATGTTGGATTTACCTCAACTATGTGAAAGATTTTTATGAGTCGATCTAGTCGTGCCGTGCATTAGCGATTAGAAAAGGCACAAGATAATGCTTGAAGGAATACATTCTTAAAGCAGATGTGTTTCTGAAAACCCAGCCTGACTCAGTTGAATTTTGTAGATTTATACTTAAGGCTATTTTCAGCTCAAGGCCTGTTGTAATGCCCTTTAGAAGTTATTTGTTGTCCCTGCCTTCATAAATTCCCAGTGGGAAATAGAAGATTAAAGGTAGTGCTTTGACTTTTCTGTACCCATTAGGAGGAAAAAAAAGAAAAGAAAAAAGAACACACTTAGTGGTCCTGGGTTGAAGCCACCACTAAAGGCAATCTAAGAAAAGAGAATGAATAAGGGTGGGGGACAGACACTTAAATAGCAACCAAGGGCCAATAAAATGCCCATGCTGGTTAGTAATGGTGTAGATTATGCTGAGTCAAGATAAGAAGCCTGATTCAGAGATAGCCAGTTTTTTTTTTTTTAAGTCTGGATTTAGAGTCAGCTAGAGTGAGTCATCCTTCCAGTTAGTGTAGCCCTGACTGTATCTTCATTTTGTTGTTGTTGTTGGGAAGTTGTTTGGTAATTGAACACGTTGGTGCACTGAGAGACTCATTCAGATTGTGCTACTCGAAGATTATGATTTTTAAAAGTAGCTACCCCTGACTGTGTAAACTAGCACTTACTGTGTGCCAGGCACTTATTGTGCCAAGTAGTTAATGAGTATAATCACCCTCAATCCTCAAAGCCATTCTAAGAAAGTGACTATTATCATCCCTATTTCATAGACGGGGAAGCTGAGGCCTGAAAGCATTAGAAATTGACTTCATCAAACAGGTGATAAGTTCCACTTTGTGCAAAGTAAAACCCATTTTGCAGTGGGTCATTCTCAACAAGAAGGTCATTTGGCGGGCAGCCATGAGAGGTTCACCTCCCTAATATAAAACATGGCTCTTATATGCATTGATGTCCTCTTGTAAAATATCAACCATCTCATGAACTGGTACAGATTTTATCATGTTCTTGTTGCACATGGGGCCAGGAGAGAAGTCATAGAAAATAGCTTTGGAACACTGATATTGACATAAATGTGAAGTAAGTCTCCGAAACAAACATAAAGATAACTTGGGGCTCAGCACAGTATCTCAAGCCTGTAATCCCAGCACATTGGGAGGCTGTGACGAGGGGATTGCCTGAGCCCAGTGGCTCAAGACCAACCTGGGCAACTTGATAAGACCTCATCTCTACAATAAATCAAAAAATTAGCCAGGCATGGTGGTGCATGACTGTAGTTCCAGCTACTTGGAAGGCTGAGGTGGAAGGATCACCTGAGCCCAGCAAGTTGAGGCAGCGGTTGCCATGAGCATGCCACTGCACTCCAGCCTGGGCAACAGAGTGAGACTCCAACTCAAAAAAAAAAAAAAAGATAACTTGATTTTCCTATTGTAATTATGTTTTCATTGTAATTGAATGATTGTAAGTTTTAAATGATCCAAGAAAATCAATGGCCAAGAAGCATTGTGTGCCTAATCAGTAGAACTTCATGATTGGCTATGTATTCTGGGTATTGCATGGCAGTGTTGGTATGGCGTCAAACTTTAGGATTAGGGAGATGTCCAGTAAAGGCATTTCTTGATAAAGGAGGGCTTTGCCTTGTGAATGAGGTCTCTGCCTCACTCTTCTTCGTGGAGGCGGGAAGCGTAATGGGTTCTCCATCTGGATGTGATATAAGGAAAAGTCCTGTGAACCCAGCAGTCAGACTTCCCCGGATGCAAATTCTTGTTTCATCGCTCACAAACTGTGTGGCCAGGATTTATCTTCTGTAAACCTCAGGATTATTGTGCAGACAGAATGACAGCGCATGTAAAACCCTTCATTCAGCTCAGTGCCTAAGCGGGGAAGAAGCTTGATCTGTCTGAAGAACAAATTACGGAGGTCAGAGTGGCTGGAAGAGAATGAACAAGAAACACTGAGAAGAGAAGATGTGAAAAAAGTGGGCAGGACCCTGCAGACTATCATCACGAGGAGTTTGAATTTTGTTTTGAGTAGGAAGCCACTGGAGGATCTTAAGCAGAGGAATGAGACTGTCTGATTTTAAAAGGCCACTCTGGCTACTGTGTGGAGGATGAACTGTAGGGAGTTAAGAGTGGAAGCAGGGAGACCAATTAGGAAGCTGCTGTGGTATCCAAGAGAGAGAAGATGGGGGTGGAGTGAGTAGCAAAGAAGAAGAAAAGAAGGAGTCTTCTGCCTACAGTATTTTCCCAGCAGTTCTGACTGTGGAGTAGGGTAGCCCCAGACTCTGTCCCCTTGCCTGACTGCTGTTCCAGGAAGGGCTACACTCTACTATGCCTCTTCCAAGGCCATCTTGTAAAGATTTTCCCAAAACTGGTTGATCCAGTCCATTTTTTCTGCTCCCTCAGTCAGCAGACCAAGAATTGTGCTCCCATTGGGTGATTCAATATCACTTTTTTTTTGAGTTGGAGTCTCACTCCATCACCCAGTCTGGCTTATGGCTATACCAGCATCAATCTGCTGGACTCAGGCAATCGTTCCACCTTAGCCTTCCAAGTAGCCAAACTACAGACACGCACTACCATGCCCGGATAATTTTTTGATTTATTGTAAAGATGAGGTCTTGCCAAGTTGCCCAAGCTGTTCTCAAACCCGTGGGCTCAGGCAATTCCCTTACCTTGGCCTCCCAAAGTGCTAGGATTACAGGCTTAAGCCACTGTGCCTGGCCTCAATATCACTTTTATTAAAACATCACAGAGGCTGAGTGGGTGGCTTATGCCTTTAACCCTAGCACTTTAGGGGCTGAGACAGGAGGATTGCTTGAGCCCAGGAGTTCAGGACCAGCCAGGGCAACATAAAGAGACTTCATCTCTACAAAAAATTTTTAAAAATTTAACTGTTGTGGTGGCACGTGCCTGTAGTACCAGCTACTCAGGAGGCTGAGACAGAAGGATCCCCAGAGTTCAGAAGGTCAAGGCTGTAGGGAGCCATGAATATGCCACTGCACTCCAGCCTGGGCAACATCATGAGACCCTGCCTCTAAATTTAGAAATAAAGAAAAAGAAGAAAAATGCCCTAGTCCTGTATGGGATGTGGACAGGAGTTGAGTGTGATTTGACAGGTAAGGTGTATATGATCCTTTGGGAAATGGTGACCAGGCTTAGAAAAACAACAGGATTGGGCTGAGGCAAAAGTCACCCCTGTTGATTTAAGAATGAAAATCAGCCAGGCATGATGGCTCAAGCCTATAATCCCAGCACTTTGGGAGACCGAGGTGAGAGGATTGCCTAAACTCATGGGCTAGAGATCAGCTTGGGCAATTTGGTGAGACCTCTTCTCTACAATAAATAAATTTAAAAAACAAACAAACAAGACGGGCATGGTAGCACACACCTGTAGTTTCAACTACTTGGAAGGCTGAGGTGAAAGGATTGCCTAAGCCCAGTAGGTCAAGGTTGCAGTGGCCATGAGAGTACCACTGCACTCCAGCCTGGGCAACAGAGTGAGACTCCGACTCAAAAAATAAATAAATAAATAAAAGAGAACCAGTAACTCCACCTATGCCAAGCCCTGCAGCAAGAAATGAAACTCCAAATGTTGACATCTCACCGCCTGGACCCTTGCGCTACAATGGTTCTACTGTAGAACAAGATTGTGGGAGAGAGCAAGAGATCTCTGAGATCCCCAAGGCAAGTGGGGGAAAATGGGCTGTAGTGAACAAGAACACTGCCAGTGTGAGGTACTTCGCTGCCACACAGCCAAGAAGCATCTGGAAGTGCCCACCAGGCACAGTGCTGGGTGCTGGAGACACTCTGATGACTTCAGAGGCTGTGTGCAGATATGAGGAGCTGCCTCCTAGGAGGTGTTGTTCCCAATGCCCTGAGTGGGAAGTGAGATAAAGCCCGCCAGGCACCAGGCTTTCATTGCTCCACAGGCGTCATTCCATCAGTTGTTTCATTATAAATTCATTGCAAACTTGGCAAATCACCAGTACTTCTTTTCTTTGATTATTTCATCAAAACGTGTTCTTTTTGTTTGTCTTTTGTTTCTTTGTTTTGAGTTGGGGTCTCACTCTGTTGCCCAGGCTGGAGTGTAGCAGCACATTCATGACTCACCGCAGCCTCAAATTCCTGGGCTCAAGCGATCCTCCTGGCTCAGCCTCCCAAGTAGCTGGGACTATAGGCGTGTACCACCATGTCAGCTAATTTTTTAATTTTTTTGTAGAGATGAGGTCTTGCTCTATTGCCCAGGCTGGTCTCAAACTCCTGGGCTCAAGGAATCCTCTGGCATCTGTCTCCCAAAGTGCTGGGATTACAGGCATGAGCCATCATTTCCAGCTCATCATGTGTTCATTCTATAATTTCCATAATAGAATTAGAGCTACATAGTGACGATTCAACACAAATATGTTTTATTAAAAGAAAACAATATATAAAAGAAGACAATAATAGCAAAATAATACCTCATGAAAGCATTCCCATTCAGAGTCTGGTGTGGGCTAAGGATGGATAAGTGAAAGCAACTGAATCTTTGCTTATAGCAACTGGAAATGAGAGGAAACTTAACTCCTAGACCCTTCTGGCAACTCTCCTTGAACAGATATCTAAGAATTATTATTCAAAATTGGTTCCCAAACTTAACAGTAAATACCACATATGAATGTGTAACACAGTTGCTGTTACTATCTAACCAAAACAACTGTTGGTGTGCAGAGATAGATAAAAATGATTTTGTTCTAAAGAAAGAAAAGGCCCAAATAAACACAATTAGAAATGCAAAAGATCAAGTTACAACTGACCCTGAAGAAATACAAAAGATTATCAGAGGTTACTATGCACACCTGTA